GACGATATCCTCAAGTACCTCAATATTTCTGATCCTCTCAAAAGCATTGTTCTGGCAATGCTTCCTTCTGTGAAGACCCTCTTGAAGCAATTGACATTGAAGTGGCCCCTCATTGCAGCAATCATTTCCTTCGATGGATAATTTTCCAAACGAGGTCGGGGATTTGATCACTATTCTACAGTGGAATTGTCGAAGTCTTATTCCTAAATTAGACTCATTTAAGTTTTTAGTTCACAATAATGATTGTGATGCATTTTCTCTTTGTGAAACTTAGCTCTCTTCAGATATAGATCTTCCTTTTTATAATTTTAACATTATTCGACTGGATCGTGAGGATTCGCGAGGAGGAGGGGTACTTTTGGGGATCAAAAAGTGCCATTCCTTCTATAGAGTGAATCTTCCACAATTTCCAGGTATTGAAGTTGTCGCATGTCAGGCTACCATTAAAGGAAAGAGCCTTTGTATTGCTTCTGTTTATATTTTCCCTAGAGCCGTTGTTAATCGAAAACAACTTTCAGATATATGTTCAGTACTTCCTGCTCCACGGTTGATTATGGGGGATTTTAATTCCCACGGTACAGGCTGGGGGGAGCTGTATGATGACAACCGTTCTACTTTGATATATGACCTCTGTGACAACTTCAATATGACAATTCTTAATAATCGAGAAGTAACACGTTTGGCTGGTCCATCCTCAAATGGAAGTAAATTAGACCTCACATTTTGCTCTAACTCATTATCGTTGGATTGTACGTGGAATGTGATCCAGGATCCCCACGGTAGTGATCACTTGCCGATCAAAATTTCGATTGCCAGTGGGTTCAATCCGTCGGAATCCGTTAACGTCGCGTACGACCTCACCCGTAATATCGACTGGACAACGTTCAAGACCGCGATATAGGAAGCCGTGTCGTCGGTAGAAGGGCTTCCACCGTTGGAGGAATATAACTTCCTATCCAATCTGATCTTGGACAGCGCACTTCGAGCTCAAACTCGGCCGGTTCCTGGAACGTCTTTCCGTAGGAAACCTCCTTCCCCTTGGTGGGACCAGCAATGCACAGAGGTTTATCGAAAAAAGTCCGACGAATTTAAGCTTTACCGGAAACGTGCAACTCGCGTTCCTTTCGTTGGAAATTCGGCTCCGGGGGCTGATAGAATCAAGTTCAACTTGTTGAAGAACCTCCCAGACGTCGCTAAGGAGATCATGTTGAACTTGTTTTGTCAGTTCCTGGAGCTCAATATTGTTCCCGATGATTGGAGGCAAGTGAGAGTTATAGCCATTAAAAAGCCTGGAAAACCCGCGTCAGATCATAACTCGTATCTTCCCATCGCGATGTTATCGTGCATTCGAAAATTGTTGGAGAAAATGATCCTTTTTCGCTTGGACAAATGGGTTGAGACGAACCACTCAGATACTCAATTTGGATTCCGTAGGGGCAAGGGAACGAACGACTGTCTCGCGTTGCTTTCCACAGAAATTCAGTTGGCTTTTGCTAAAAAAGAAGGGGGCTTTTGATTCAGTACCGGTTGAAGTCCTTTCAGACAAACTCCACGATAGTGGCCTTTCTCCATTAATTAATAACTTTTTGTACAATTTGCTGTCAGAGAAACATATGAGCTCTTCCCCAGGGCTCATGTTTAAGCCCCCTTTTGTATATTTTCTACGTCAGAGAAATTGACAATTGTCTAAGTGACAACTGCACGTTGAGACAACTTGCAGATGACGGTGTAGTGTCTATGACAGGACCCAAAGGGGTCAACCTGAAAGGACCCTTACAGGATACCTTAGACAATTTGTCTACTTGGGCTATCGAGCTAGGTATCGAATTCTCCTCTGAGAAAACTGAGTTGGTCGTTTTTTTTTAGGAAACATAGCCCAGCACAACCGAAGCTTCAACTTTTGGGTAGGCCGATCACTCATTCCATGTCTTTCAAATATCTTGGGGTCTGGTTCGATTCCAAATGCACCTGGAGATCCCACATTGAGTATCTGAGACGAAAATGCCAACAAAGGATCCATTTTCTTCGAACAATTACCGGAACGTGGTGGGGAGCCCATCCACAAGATCTTCTGACGTTGTACCGGACAACGATTTTATCGGTTTTAGAGTACGGTAGTTTTTGCTTCCAGTCGGCGGCTAAAACTCACATCATCAAACTGGAACGTATCCAGTATCGTTGTCTTCGTATCGCGTTAGGATGCATGCACTCGACTCATACGATGAGTCTAGAAGTGTTGGCGGGCATGTTGCCACTATCGGATCGGTTTTCGTAATTGTCCCTCAGGCTCCTCACCCGTTGCGAAGTTATGAAATCACTGGTAATCGAAAACTTTGAAAAGCTTCTTGAGCTGAACCCTCAAATTCGTTTTATGTCATTGTACTACGTGTACATAACACTGGATGTCAGCCCTTCACAGCATAATCCTCATCGTGTATGCTTCTCCGACTTCGGCAATTCAGATAGTTTTGATGTATCTATGACGCGGGAGATTTGTGGGATCCCAGCACATCATCGTTCCATGATCGTTCTTCACAGATGGATAATTAATAGAGGCGTCCGCTGGTTATGGTATTTATAACGAATTTCATAGCGCCTCTCGAATGCTTCAAGCTTCCTGTTCCTGCTAGAAACGATCGCCTCACTTCCACCAGATCACTATTTTATTTTTACGGATAGTCTCAGTTCTGTCGAGGCTATTCGCTCCATGAGGCCGATAAAGCACTCCTCGTATTTTCTCATGACCTTTGCATGGGTCCCATCTCATTGCTCGATTCCGGGAAATGAGAAGGCGGACTCACTTGCTAAGGTGGGCGCTATGCAAGGCGATATTTACGATCGACAAATCGCCTACGATGAATTTTTCTTCATTTATCGTCAACAGTCAGGTGTCGAAGAGTCCTTGGTTCAAGGGGTTGGATGTGGGTCGAGACTTCATTCGTATGATGTCTCGCCTCATGTCCAATCATTATTCGTTAAACGCTCACTTGTTCCGTGTTGGACTGGGGGACAGCAATCTCTGTGAATGTGGGCAAGGTTACCAGGACGCCGATCATATTATTTGGTCTTGTGCTGAGCATCGTGGAGTCAGATCTAAGCTGTATGATTCCCTTCGGGCTCGAGGTAGACAACCTAATGTTCCAGTTCGGGATATTTTGGGTAGACGCGATCTGGAGTTTATTAAACTTATATATGTTTTCTTAAAGAATATTAACCTTAGATTGTAAGTTTGACTAACCTTGTGTTTAGTTTTTGTTTTGTTCGTGTGGTTTTTTTTTTAATAATTGTATAATTACACTGCGGATACCAAATTGAATATGAATAAGTTCATGTTTTAGGAATAATGAAATATTTGTATCGTAAATCATAACTCAAACCTCCTTCTCCCTCTCCCCATCCATAAAACTGTATATCTCTACTAACCTCGAGACGACCGCGAGTAATCGGTTCAATTCCTTTAGCTCTAGCCTTAAGACATCTATTATGTATAACGCAAATGATAACTTGGCTCTGTAAGTTTATTCGATTGAGCCTGTACAAATAAATTAATACAAAAAAAGCAGTGATTACATTTTGTAAAAAAAAAATCCGTTCGGAAAACAGAGGCACAGGGCGGGTTGTGCTTAGTAGGCCCCAAGTTAGATCTAAGCCCTATTAGTGAGTGAGTTTAATCATGTCGAAAAAAAGGTTGCCGACTGGAACTCGAACCACGAACGTTGCAATTTTCAGACCTGTGGTTTCTTCACTGCTCTCCATGCTTCGGAATTTGGATAGGCTAAAAGCGAATAAGAAATCCATCCGAACCTTTCGATTCGGGGCGTGGCTAAGAAGGTCAATTCTTCCGTCTGGTTCGTCCAGTTTCTATTTTGGAACTGTAACTTTTGGAGAAAGTGCACGAATGGGAAAAACCTACGTGGTAATTTCAAACTGTCCATTAGATCATAGTAAAACAATTATTAAAACAGATAATGTGTACAGGGAAGGCAATAAGGGAGTGATCCTTCCACAAACTGTGAAAATTGTCCTGAGTTTCAGGTGTATAACACTTAAATATAATATATTTAATTGTGTTCGTAAAATGTTAAGAAATCATTTTCCGAATGACCGTTCAGCCTATGAATAATGATCATCAAATAATACATGTGGGTCATTCCATGCCAAGTGACCGAGGCAGATGAAATATACTTCTTTCGATGCAGCCTCAATTTGGAGGTTATGTTTATTTTAGTCTATCTTTTAAGAATCCACATTTTTGTTACGATCAAAGAACCCCTCGGCCCAGGGGAACATTTTCTATTTTTTCGTGATTTTCAAGAAAGCACTACTTTATTTTATCAATATCTACGGAACATAAAAAGCTACAGTTAGCATTAATGAGCGCGTTTATGAGAAAATTAGACAAAGAATCTAAATATGATTTTGTTACTTTTGTACAGTGTTGCCAAATATTCTATGTTTGCGATCAAAAACTTAAAACCAATTTTCGCATAAAGAGTACATTAGGATTTCCAATCTGACAGCACCAGCATGTTCTTTGTCCCATTTTACATAGGAAACACTTATCGAAAAAAAGTGATTTGCGTATTTCCTGACATTGGAGCAAAGCATGTCAAAAATTATGTGAAAATACATGTTTTGCTCTTCGCTCTTTTAATTTTTCGTGCCTTCTTTTTGAAATGTTTTCTGAAGCAACAATATTGGTATTCTAAATTTAGACTAACACAAACATCTCCAACAAATTTTGCTCACATCGGAAGAGGTTAATTACAATTTTTAATTTTTTCTCGGTCACTTGGCGTTTTAACGAGATTGTCCCAATTTTAATAGAATAATTGAATTAAATTGTCATTGCTTTCGAAATATATCACACAACAATGCCAACCGATAAGTACTGCTTCATCTCATTAACAGCATCCAGACTATATGAGTATACATTTACAAAGTCTGTTAAATGGATTCGCACTCAAATGCCCCCCTGGTTTTCCAATTTCCCATTCCAGGTGTCCTGGGTTCGCCATCGAGACATCCACCTGCTAACAGTCGGTCGGTACACGTACACCTCGGATCAACGCTTCGAAGCCATGCACTCTCCGCACACCGAGGAGTGGACCCTGCGGATACGATACGCCCAGCGTAAGGATTCCGGTATCTACGAGTGCCAGATTTCCACCACACCTCCCATCGGACACTTTGTCTATCTTACGGTTGTAGGTGAGTTTCATCAATGTAGAGCCATATAGCAATAGCAATAGCAGAACGAGGAAAGCACATTGTCAGCGCAATCAATTTTGTTCTCTGTGTTGCTTGTGTAATTAAGACAAGCGCAGCAAAACAATGAAATAAATAACGAAGCTCTCCTCCGCCAGTCGGTCTGCATTTTCATTTTGTTGTTTTAGAGCAGTTCCACGCCAAATGACGAATCGATCTGATGCGACCATCTCCGGTTTGCATGAAACTGTGCATATTTTTCTTTTATTTTTGCTTTCTCAATCTAAGGTAATCCAAACGGTCAGTTATGCATTGTCCAACGTTTCAGCCGTTTTTTGTGGCCCTTCCAAGGGTAAAACTGTCAACCGTTTGCCTTTAAATTATGTTAGACAGTTTTACCCTTGAAAAAGGCCCCAATAAACGGCCGAAACGTCGGACAATGCATAACTGACCGTTTGGATTACCCTAGACTGAGAAAACCATAAAACAGAAATCTCCCTACATACCAGTCGAACAATCTATTAAAACTGTCCATAATTCCTGAGAACTTCGACATTAGGGCGTAATTGCTTTTGTAAACAAACAATTTATTTGACGATTTCTCGTGAATTAAAGATCAATCTAAAAAAATAACAACACAAACAGGTAGATGAATGGTTCCTCTATCATTTGGTATAGCTTGCTCACGAGATTGTTCTTTTATTCACGAGAAATCAGCGATTGACATGTTTGTTTACGAAAGCAATTACGCCCAAATCTTAAAGTTCTCCGAAATTGTTTGTTTTGGGCAATAATTCACATTTGAGCTAAAATTCGGCCATTTTTAATCTCGCAAAAAAAACTTCAAAATGGCATATTCGATATTGTTCAACAAATCATATCTCGCAAGAGTTACTTCCAATCGAAATGACGCCTGAGACAAAATTCAGGTTATTATGAGCTGAAAATTAAATAAAAGTGTTTCCAACTTAAATAACAACAAATCACCCATTTCTATATTTTTAAAATCTTTCTAATTTAGTAGCTTATAATTCTATTTTCAGAGGGTCGTTTATTTTTTTGATATTTAAGTTTCATACACTCTTTTGGACTTTAAACCCACAATAACGTGTGATTTTCAACCGTATATTTTCCTGAAAAGCAATTTTTTAAGTTTTAAGACTGTCTCAGACGCCATTTTGATTGAAAGTGACGTTTTAGAGTTATGAATTGTTGAAAATATCGAATTCGCCATTTTGAAGTTTTTTGCGCGATTCAAAATGGCCGAAGTTTGGCTCAATTGCGAATGATTGGCCATAACAATCAATCAGCAAAGTTTCATGCAAATCGGAGAAGGTTCAGTTTGTAGTTCAATTGTATTTGCTATTTGGCCTGGAAATGCTCTTTACTTTGAATGATGCTTCGTATCCTTTCCCAGATTGTCTGACGACGACGACGACGCTTCAACACGACCTAGAAAATTTTCCACTTTGCCAACAGTAGGTACAAGAGTGAATGATGGGTTTCGTGTAGTGAACAATAACTTCATTCGGAGTTCTTTTATGAATTTTCCCTCCACTTTATAAGAGCCACCTCCCCGGGATCTCAAGATTTGCTTTCATTTCGTGTAACTTGGCAATAAAGAAAATGTTGTTAATATCCTGTTTCGAGAAGCGCCTGGAGGATATAAATATAACAGCAATGTCAGCTCGTCCCGGTGGAGCGTGCGTTGGTGGATTCTGTAAATCAGGACACTTTCAACGGAAGCTATAGAAACGATTTATTCCAATCAATCGAACCGTCTGTTTCTCATCTTTTCCTTTGACCTCCCCTTTTCTCTTTGCATGGCTTCGCCCTCATCGATTGGTACAATCCGTGACCTGACATCGCACCGGGACTCCCTCCACGACACCATATCGTGCCAACCGCCACATCTGGGAGGTCATCTTCTGCGTCAAGAACCAGTGACAGAGATTAATGGCGGGCCTGATTTATTTATCAATAAAGGCTCGACGATAAATCTCACCTGCATCGTCAAGTACGCCCCGGAGCCACCGCCGGCCGTGATCTGGAAGCACAATCGGGACGTAAGTATTTCTGCCACCCTACCCACCGCAGGTCGGACGTGGCTTCTACATTCCCATCTACTTACCTGCACAGTGAGACACAACGTGACGTTTTCCATTTTCCCGCTTGTTTTTCTGCATATTCCAGGACATCAACTTTGATTCACCCCGGGGCGGAATCTCGCTGGTGACGGAGAAAGGTGTGCTGACCAGCAGCCGATTGCTGGTGCAGAAAGCGATAGCCAGCGATTCCGGGCTGTACACGTGTGAACCCTCCAATGCCAATCCGGCCTCGGTCCGGGTGCACATACTGAATGGTAGGTGTCGATTGCACCATGGTGGTAACTGCAGGATGCTTATCAGTCGTCATGGATGGTTTCGAATCGGCTATTTGGTAGATTAGAATCTGGAAATGTCACGTACGCGAGTATTGAGAAATTGTAGCATTGAGTGTGCTTTACAATGTTGTGCAGACAGTGGTTCCGCCTCAAGGCCCAGGCTCAATTCATCTGGATTTCAAGCAACAATGCTAGATCCATGGTCTGACTGTGGGATTTTCACACAACGATGCTTTGTGCTTTAGAGGGTGATGCGACTATGTTTCTATTCCCGCTTAGGCTCCCAGTAGGGTGCGGTCGAGCCATAGAATGTTGTGTTTCGGATTCTGGAAACTACTTAGATTTACGAACGGCTTCGGTCCCCCCAAGAACCTATTCCAAGCACGCTAGAAACATTTTCAAAAGATGCTTTAAGATGTGATAAATCCAAGTTTGCAAATGCTCATTATAGCTAGAATGCTATTTTTCGGAATTATGAAACTATGAGATATTATAGTAATAATTTGTGTGTGTAAGATGCAAGAAAAGGAGATTAAGTTTGTGTTTGTTTGTTCACAGGATCACAATTAGCTTTTTTAGCTGTAAAGAGCAATCGCATTAAGTGAGCAATCAGCATTGGCGTAACTAATGGGGGGCCAGGCCCCCTACAAAATTATCTAGCCCCCTCCAGAATTTTTGGTGTTTGTTTTTGATTAACCGAATTTTTTTCAAGCTTATTAAGTTCAATGCTACTATTTAACAGTGATTAATAAAATTGGACCACCAGCAAAGATTTTTCAAAGTCCTGAATTTTGATTACTTTTGTTGTGTTCTATTCCAGAACATAACAACAGTAATCAACATTAAGGACTTTGAAAAATCTTCAGAAGGAACAATTTTTAGAAATTATATTATATCAAATCCATGGCAATAAGACGTCTTCAGGCTCTACAAATTGGCCATGAGCCCAGGAATTTTTCTTGAACTTGTGGAAACTTCGTAAAACTTCAAATAGAAGTTCAGGGAAGATCGTAGAAATTAAGTAAACTTGGTAGATATTCTGGGAAATTCATAGACCTACTCCCCCCACACTTTGATTTTTCAAAAAAAAAAAAGGCATTTTTTTTTGCCTAAAATGTTCCTTGGGATGTATACTTTAATTTAGAAAAGACTCCAAGTCCGCCAGAATATTCTTTACCGCTTTACAAAGTGATTTCCTAAAACATGTACCGGCGCGCTGAGAGAGCATCTTTATCTTTAAACGCGTTTATCTCGAAACGGGGTTTTTCAAACTGGCGTGGGAAATAACTCTAACCAGTTATAATCAAATTTGGATATCGCCCAATTTTTCTTGTTCAAAATTAAATTCTGCTTAGAAATACGTATCCACATTTTCGATTTTGTCAAAAATGGATTTTTAATCCACGATTTCGTAAGCATTTTTAGGGTGAAAAAGTTGACTTTTTTTTTCCTAATTCCACAACTTTTGAAAAAATTAATTTAAAAAAAATCGGAATACGTATTTCTAACCCAAATTTCATTACTAATCAGGATTTTTGTTCGATTTATGTTCCAGGATCACATGAAAAGGAATATTTTCCCACGCCGTTTTCCGACTTCCACGCGAGGACGCCCTCGCGACCTGGTGCACCGGCCACGGGGAGACGCCAATCGAGTTCAAAAAAATACAAATTGTAGTTCGAAGGATGACTAATAAATGGGTTAAAACATATTTGCCCTCCCTGAGTGTTTATTGCTTAAAAAATTAACGAAAATGCCTTACTTTTTGGACGTTCAAAGTGTACTACCCCCTTAAGAAAAAAATCGTAGAAAAAAGGAACTTTGAACAGTTCTGAAAACTGCGTAGAAGTAGAGAATTCATTTAAATCTGAGGAGCTTCGTAGAAGTTAAAGGAACATTATTTTATTTTAGGGAAGTTCATTATTGATCGGGAACCTCTACATAATTTCAGTTTTTTTAGCCTCATGGACTTGGAATAGTTGTGGAAATTCAACAGCAAACTTTGTAGAAGATTTTCGAATTTCGTAGCATTTTGAGGAGCTGCGTAAACTTCATATAAGTGTAAGGGATTTTGAAAAATTTCGGGGAATTTTTTAAAAGATCTAAAAATAGTTCAATAAACTTCTAAGAACTTCAGGGATCTTCGCCTCAGCTTAGGGAACTTCGTTCCAGTTTTCAGAGATCTTAATCCATAAAAGCTCCATAAACTTCTTGGAGGTTTTGGGAACTTCGCTAAATTCAAGGAACTTTCTAGGTGTTCATGAATATTTGTAGATGTCTTAGGTGTCTTTCCAGAAGTGCAAAGATGTTCAGAGATCTTTGTAGAATTTAAAGAAATGAAAAAAAAATATAGAATGTGGAATAAATCAGGGAACTTTGTAGAAGTTGAGGAAATTTTGTAAGACCTAAGTTTTGTAGATGTTCAGGAAACGTTGCATAAGTTACAGAATATTCTTTCAAAAATCCTTCCTAGACATCAGGAAATATTCAAAAGATCTCCATATAGTCCAAGATATTAGTAAAGTTCACTGGATATTTGGTAGGTTGTAGGTTGATCAGGAAGCATTCAAAAATTGTCCAGCTAATGGAATCAGATAGAATCTTGATTATATGGCCATATTTGTACATTCTCTATAGGCAAGACCTTAGGCCTTGGTGTTTTAGCTATATTGTAATAAATTTTTCTTGAAAACATATGGGTTTGGGATCACAAAACTATTTTCATTTTAACATTAACAATGTTAAGGATTGTGCATCTGCAGCATATACATAAGACTGCCAACGAAAATGGTAATTTCAAATTTCGCTAACAAACCATATACAAAATGTTTATTGCCTCGAAAATGACCCTATGCAAAATTTCAGCTAAATCAGACATGATTTAGGGGTGGCGCAAACGCGTCAAAGTTTGACTTTTTTCACTCTCGAAAATCTCCCAAGCCTCCCCCCGAGGGGTACATGAAATTTCGGAAATCAAAAAATTTGTTTTGATGCCAAATGCCTTAAAAATGCATGAAACGTCAAGGTTTAGTGCTATCTCGAAATTTTTTTTTTTTCAAAAATCGACTTTCCGGGATGAGTTCTATGTGGAATATAGAAGATTGATGAGTCGGCTTCTAAAACTGTTCACAATTGTCTCCAACCTGCTTATATATCGAATTAAACCACCATTTAGGATCTAATACGAAATAATTCACTAGGGTGGTCCAATTATTCTTCATTAGGGTGGTCCAAAAATTCAAAAATATATGAAAAACCACAACTTTTCATCAGAAATTCCTAAAATCAATTGTAAAAATATCTTGAATTGCGTTAATCTGTTTTTTTTTTTGGGAATCATGAGTTTTACACAAGAGGAACATTTGCCAGAAAAGATGAAAAAATACTTGTTTTATACTTTGCCATATATTTCCTTATTAGTTACACCAAATCAGATTTACTGGTACTCTTATATTTTTTTCGATGATCTTCAACTAATTGTAAAATGCACTGCTTTTGATCTTCATCCGTTGATAGTTTTGAATTGTATGTTTCAACCACGCTTTGCATTATCATTAACTACTTCCAAACATTGAACCCGTCTTTTGGCATTTTTAAACTCGATGGAACTACTCCACTGCTCCACATCGACATTCAGCAACGACTTCGGAATTTGGAGAGCTTTGAATAAGTTTTCAATACCACTGCTGCCTTGTACAAACGAGTGTAGTTCAATCGTTGAAATATCGTTGGATTCAACAATGGATCTGGCTGTAATATTTTTATGAGTATCTGTAAAAAAAAAATCATTAGAAAATTAAATGCAAATGTATCAATTAAACCATTAACCTGATAGAAGTAAGGCTTCGATGACCTTTTTCTTAACCGGGAGGTCTACATTTTCGTCGAACAGACATAGTCCGATTGCAAGTGAGTTGAAATTCCTTTATGTACTGCTTTCGCAACGTCTTCATCAACAGTTTCATATTCCTTCAATATTTTTAACAAGTTCAGATCGTTGTTGGGTGCCATCGCAGCACACGGAGAAAGAAACGAACTTTTCAAATAAATTTTTACAATGAACACACAAAATCGAGCTAGTTGATTTTTAGTTTTATCTGGTAAAGCAAATTCATGCCGAAGAATAAACATTTTCAAAGAATAAATGATTTTGGCCATCCACCTTGCATTGTGGAACGCACCAGGAGCTCTTATTTGTAATTTTTCATCGATTTTTCCACCCAAATATAAAATGGCAAGTTGTAGAACCTCTCGGTTATCACCACGGTGGTGTTGCTCTCTAATTTGTTTTTCATAAAACTCCAATAACGCCAATCTTTCTAACTCCGAAATAGCTATTTTAAAAAAATCATCATACATACCTGAGTGGTATGAAGTCTTTTCCAAAATGTGCCATTTTGATTGGAATTCCTTAAAAATCTCAACATTTGGAGACTTTCAAATTTCAGAATTTTAAAAGCTTTGCCAAGTAGCAGTTCATGTATGTGGTGTCTACAAGGGAGGCCTATAAGCTGCCTCTTAACTGACACGCACCTTTTTTTCTACCGGTGTTTGATGCAGTAGTATCAAAAGATGTAAACATAATTCTGAAAACAAATGATAAAATAGTCAGAATTCTGAGGTGAACATACAAGATTTAAGATCATACCTGTCCGCAAGCCCACATTCGACGACTGCATTGTACACCGCTTCTGCTTGTTGTGCCCCCGTAGAGTTTTCGATGGGTGGAACAGCCAATAATTTGCTAATGCCTTCGCCTGATACAACTATGGCCAAGCGCACGATTTTTGGTAGAGCTTTGGATGGTAATGTGTTAGATAACAGCTTAGAATCCCAATGTACTGTTAAATTTATATCTGGCTTAAACGACGCTTTTAAATCATGTTGCATTTGTAAGCGAATTCCTGCTCTGGCGATTCTGACAGATTCCTTGTTCAACAATATTGATGAAACATCGTGCCCTAAAGCTTTAGCGATCG